TATGGGAAAAGTACACCTTCCACAGAGTTTTCTTGAGGCTTAATAGAAAGAAAATACCATATAGCATATATAAAACATTGAATGGTTATACTGCCCGAGACCCTGAGAGTTAAGTGTCCCTGAAAATACAATGAAAGAATGTATATAAAAACACTTAGCACAGTGGTACATGGTAATGTCTTAATCAATGCTAGTTATTAGTCGTAGTAGTACGGGATGTAGTAAAGAAAAAAAAAATACTGAACGGGTAATCAGAGGACCTGAATTTTAGTCCTGGGATTATGCTATGCAGTAACTAATTAGTTTTGAAACCCAGATTGTCAAACTGCTCTAGTGCTTGGTGTTATCATTTGTAAAATGAAGTACAGGAGATGAGATTATGTCAAAGTTCCCTTTCTGTTGCAAAAATCTGTAACTCCATGTTGTCTGATTTTAAGCTCCATCAACTGAGAGAAAGATGATACTATTCACAGAAATAAAAACATCCAGACAACCAACTGTAACTATTTAGATGTTGTAAGAAATGTGCAATTAAAGTACACACATTATCAATATTTGTTATAATTGTCCTAACGTAGCCACATGATCATATTATCAAATAACAATAAGTAGCCAATCATTCAAGTAAAATATATATATAATTATTGAATAACTATCCACAATTCAGTATCTTGAGCTTTTCTCCCAGGATTATTGGTTTATGGCTGAAGCAGAACACTCATGCTGTGTTTAGTTGTCCATTCTATTTGGTTAAAAAAAAAAGAATACCAATGTAGAAATCTAAACATCTAACAAGAGGAACCTAGGAAACTAATAAAACAATGTTAAGGAAAATTGACTCTTTCATAAAAGTATACTCTGAGTAGATTTCCTAATCTTAATTTTACTAACAAAAAAAAGAAAAAACATGTATATGCCCCTTGCAGTGGGATGAATTGTGTCCCCCCCAAAATATGTTCAAATATGTCTGTGAATGTGACTTTATTTGGAAACTGTCTTTGGAGATGTAGTTAAGGATCTCAATGTGACATCATCCTGGATCTACAGTGGGCTCTTAATCCTATGGCTGGTGGCCTAGAAGAGAAGGGGAGAGGGATTTCAGACACAGGTAAAAAGGCTATGTGAAGACCCAGGCAGAGATTGGAGTTACACTGCCACAAACCAAGGAACACGTGGAGCCACCCAAAGCTGGAAGAGGCAGGGAAGGATTCTCCCTTAGAGCCGTTGAAGGGAGTTTAGCCCTGCTCACAACTTGATTTCACACTTCTAGCTTTCAGAATTATGAAAGAGTCAATTTCTGTTTTAAACCACCAAGTTTTTGGTAAGTTGTTAACATCAGTTCTAGTAAACGAATACCCCTTCGGCCAAAAAAGGAAACACTTGTAAACTCTATTTGGAATTTGTGTCTTCTCAAATAGTGACTGTTCTAAACTATTCATTCCTCACTACTGCTGCCTTACCTTTTGTTTCTGATATGGTGCTTATTACTTTTAAGCTTCTTAAAAGTATATTATACAATAGTAGAGATATATAGAGAGGTACAAATAATACAACAACAATCCATTTACCCAACATCCAGCTTAAATTATAAAACAATGTCAAAACATTTAAATTGCCAGTATATCCCTCCCCTTTGGCTTCCTCTGTTGCTGCCTAAAGGAAATCACGTTCCTGCATTTGGAGTTGTTTATCCCCAGGCACTTCCTGATGCCATTACTGGATGTGTATTTAGCCCTAAGCAATACATTATACTGTTGCATAGTTTAAAACTTTGCAAAAATTGTTCTGTGTCATATGAATTCTTCTACAACTTTTAATTATTTCATTTCTATTTAAGAGATTTATCCATATTGGAGTATGTTCCTCGGATTCATTCATTTTCACTTATGAATATTATTCCACTGTATAAAAATAACACAATCTGTCTTGAATATTTAGGTTTTATCAATTTTTTTTATATTCAAACCTTGTCTCTTATACTTAGAATGTAGGCATAATAATCCTCTGGGACATGTACTTAGTAGCGGGTACTAGGGTGTATTATCTTTAATTCACTAGGTACTGTCATGTTATTTTCCAAAGTGTTTATAATTTAGGTTTCCACAGTAAATATTGCTCCTTGTTCACACCAACACTTGATAGTGATAGACTTTGAATTTTTAAGTTTTTGTCAAACAGAAGAGCATGAAAGGGACCTCATTTTTATATTAAATTGCATTCCTTGTGAAATGACTATAACTCAATAAAAAAAAAGTAAAAAAAAATTGCATTCCCTGTTTACCAGTGAGTTAGAGCATTTTCTCATGTGCGTATTAGCTATTTGTGTTTCCTCTTTCGTAAACTGCCTGTTTTTCTCTTTTGCCATTTTCTTCTTTTGAGTTACCTTTTTCTCATTGATTTGTAAGAGTTTTTACATATTATGGATGCTGATCTTTTTGTTGACTTTGTGTGTTGCCCATATCTTCTCTCACTGCGGTTTGTCTTTTTACTTTTTTATGGTGTATTTCAGTTAAAATACTTTTTTATTTTATATTTGGTGCTTTTACATCTCACTAAGAAATTTCTACCATGATTTCAAAAGGATACTGTCTGATATTTTATTCTTTATGTTTTTAAGCTTTGCCTTTTCACTTTTATATCTTAAGTACACTTGGACTTTGTTTTTTCTTTATGGTATGAAATGGAGGAATATGATTTTTTTTCCATATAGGTAAACGATGGTGTCCTAGCACCATTCATTGAAAAAGTCATCTTTTCCCCACTGATCTGCAGTAATAGCTCTGATCTTTATCAAGTTTGCATGTGTATATGTGTGTGTGTGTTAGTTGTGTATCCTGCACAACAAATTACTCCAAAACTTAGCAGCTAAAAACAACAAACATTAATTATCTCATAGTTTCTGTGAGTTAGGAATCAGAGTGATCTAGCCAGGTAGTTCTAGCTCAAGGTTTCTCACAAAATCAAAATTAAGGGATCAACCAGGGCAGCAGTCATCTCAAAGTTCTCCTAGGAGAGGAGCCACTTCCAAGCTTACTCACATGGCTGCTGGCAAGCCTCAGGTCTTCACTGGATGTTGACAAGAGACACGTGAGTCTCTCCATAGTGTTGCTCACAACATGACACTTGCTCACCCTCTGAGTGAGATATTGGAGAAAAAGAAAATAAGAGAGAGCTCCCAAGACAAGAATCACAGTTTTTATATAATCTAACTCAGAAGTGATATCCCATCACTTCTGCCATCTTCTATTCCTTAGAATTGAGTCACTAAATCCACACTCAAAGGAGGGGGATAACACAAGAGCATAAATACCAGGAGGTGGGGGTCATTGGAGCCATCTTAGAGCTGCTTATCGCAGTTTTCATTTATTGGTCTATACCAGTGCCATTACCACATTATCCTACTGTAGCCTTGTACTAAATCTTGTTATCTGGATGGGTAGGTTCCCTACTTATTTGTTCTTCAAATGTGTCTTACCTATTTAGGGCTCTGAAAACAGAATCTAGAATCTAGCTTACTCAGTTCATTGAAAAACCTGTCAGGATTTTTATTGGAATTGCATTACATTAATGGACTACTTTATAAGTGAATCAGTATTTTATGATGTTGAGTCTTCCTATCGATTTACATGGTTTATCTTGCACATATTCTAGTAAGTTCACCAGAGGTGTTAGAGTGAAAACCCAGTTTGGAATGTCTTTTCAATAAAATATCTCTGACAAAATCTATTTTGTCTGGGCCTCCTATGCAAAAACTCAGTGGCAATGCACAGTGTATGGCATGCACAGAGGATTAATGTATTGCCTCAGTTCCTGGGTTTAGCAGCTTCAAGGTCTGTCCCCATGTCCAAGTTCTGTACTTCTAGTACACTGAGTTTTGATGACTTATTTCTCAGTAAGGTAGTACCAGGTATGCACAAAATTTCTATTGAAATTCTTATAATGCCTACATTTTTGCACTGGACATGTATGGTTCAATTTGCCCAGCAACTCTCTTTTCTTATCAGGACAGCATCCCTTTTCTTTTGGAGAACTGCTTTGCCTTCCAACTCCAACCAGGTGATTCTAATCCAGGTTGTCAATCACAGGTCCCACTGTAGGCCAATCATAGGCTTCTCCCTGGATTTTATCAAAATTGGAATTCAGGGAAAATTTTCACTTCCTCTCTGTTGATAGGCTGAGAGGCTGAGAGCTCCAGGTTTCTAGACTTGCGGAGAAAGTGTGTCTGACAAAATAAAGCTGAGATGAAGAAGGAAGATGAGATGAGAGATGGAGACATCTTGGTGGTGGCTAGGTGCCTGGAGCTAGAAGCTTGGTGCCAGCTTCATCCCTGTCCTGCTTTAATTGGATTAGGTGAGCCAATAAATTCCCATTTTTGCCCATCCCCCTGAAACCAAAATTCCTGACATCCGTCTTCTTGCTGAAATACATAGACCCTCCTAGTCACTTAAAAACTATCAAATCTCATTCCTCATTCATTTATTAACATAAAGTCCTTTTCTAAATTATGTTTACATTAATCATGATTATTTAGTCTTTAAACAACAAGTATTTATTCAGAATCTACTATGTGCCAGTCATCAAAGAACAGAGTGATGACTGTCTTCCAATGAACACAGTTAAAATATGTGCCTTAGCAAAGTTAACGTAAAACATACTGCAAGTTAGAGATATTTGGATAAATAGTAAAACCATGACTTAAATCTCATTTGATTCTCACCAAAGTGCTGCAAGAGAGCTCAGAGAAGGGTCAGTAATTATTCCAAGATTTTGCAGCTAATAAATAATGGAACCAAAACTTGAACCTAGGTTTTTAACTAAGTCAGAGTTGTTTTAATTATCCTGTGCTACTTAAATTGAGAAAACAAAGACTTTCGGATCCTTATCATTTAAAAATTGTAACTCTCAATTCTCTTTCCATCAGATTTCTACTTCCTACGACGTTGAAGCCCTGCAGTTACTGAACTCTAACAGTGAACCACCAAGTAACAGAGAGAAACCACGCTTTCCAGCTGGCAGGGTTTTTCGGTGAGTTTTTTTGTTTTTTGTTTTTTCTTTTTCTTTTTCTTTCTTTCTTTTTATTTTTCGCTCAAGAGAGCCTCCATTATACGCAAAGCACCTTGGGAGTTGTAGTCGTCAGCTTAGAGCCTTGTGGCCGGAGGCGCCGACTCACTGGGACCCAATCAGCAGAGAGCCAACTTGCTCTCCGCGCAGTGATTGGCTGGGAGGCAGCGGCCGTCCGCCCCACGGCGCCGACGCGCCCTCGCGCCGTCGCAAGTCAGGGGCTTGGTGGCCCGGCTGAGCGCGGGTGTTGCAGCGTTCCCGGCTCCGACGTTCGTGATACGGCAGTGTAGCCATGGCGAACCGCAGCCGGCATCCGGGCGGCCTCGACCGACGGAGGCCCGCCCTCACGCCTGGCCTGGCCTCCGGACCCCGGACCCTAGCCACCACGGG